TCCGCAATTGTAGATGCGTTGCCTACATTTAATTGACGAAGGAGAAAACGTACATAAAGAGGATATTTCCCCTTCCTATGCGTCTCCTCCAATGTCAAATCCACTTTTCCTTCCCATCCTTTTCTCTTAAGAAAAGGGTGGAAAGGGACCAAAATGAGCCTCCGGCACCACACTCATCAGAGGAAACGCGGAATTGCTTCCAATTCACGCCGGCCTTCTGTGTGGTCGTGGTACTGCTCCGGACGAGCCGATCCATTCACTGCCACTGTCAAAATATAGGAATAATAGAACAATCTCATTTACCTTTCATAACGCTAGTAACAAATCTTGCAGACGAGAACCCGATGGAGAGATGACCTTGCTCATAATTGGCTTTAACCTTACATATAATCTCATCAGCCTCCCTCACCAACTTTGTGAGGCATTCCACTTGCGTCTTTAAAGTTCAAAAACATTTTTATTTTTTAACTTCGTTAATTTAAAACCTAATGATTAAGAATTGTACATACAAAGCTTTTTTTGTACTTATTTTATAAATGGGACAGGTAAAGATAGTGACTTTTCGAGAAATAAATACATTATTTCTACCAAAAAAACATTTAAAAAAAAATAATTTGACAAGTTGGTGAATTGTCAATTGAAAGTTACTTTATGAACGACTTACAGTTGATAATTCAGGTTATTTTTAAGCTAACGAGTAGACTATAAAAGCCAACGTTTTCATGTCTGGTAGTGAACAGACCCTAATATTTTTATATATGTACATAAGAAAAGTGTGATTTGATGTGATTTGTATTATCATTAATATCAAATAAAAATCTATATCGTTTGTCTCATTATTTTATTTTGGTATGGTTGTCGTCTACATATCGACATATTAAAATCGGTTTGAATAAATGAAATAAATAGTTTGTCATTTTTTTTCCTTATAGTACTTGTAAATTCGAACTCAGAGATATAATGAACACCAGTTCAACAAAAACGGGATTGGACTATTACTGTTTTGTAAGTAAAGGTTTATACGAAGGACACTACCGCGATATGCGGAGGCGTTAAAGCTTTTACCAGTTTTATCTTAAGTTATTTTTAGATTGAAATAAAACTGCATCCATTTAACTGGATGTTGACCGTTAAAAGTAAATTTAGGTTGTCCTTGTACGATACCATTTGTCGAAAATAATAAAACCGGTTAACATGGTTTGGGAGATATCAAGGCATAAAATAAATGTAGTTTTTATATACTTCGCTAAATGTTAACTAAAAATAAGTCGCTAAATAAAGCCTCTGGTAAAAGCCGTCGCACATTTGGCAGATTACGGTCATTCACACTTCAGTCTGTTTAGAAACATGTTACATCATTTCGTAACGTGACGGTAATTCTAACTTATTTTTTACTTCTAAGACTATAGATGTTACCTACTTTTAATGGACAAGGAAGCGTTTGTACAGATAAGAAAATATTCTCTCATCCTTCATTATCAATAAAAAGAGAAATAATATAATTTGGACTAAATCCTGTTGTATACATTTTCTAATAATCTATACACATAATAAAATGGAGTGTCTGTTTATAATAACTATTACCTGTGGGAAGTTGCCAGCTTTCCCTTTAGAGAAGACTGGTACTCGCGTACATCTGCCCGTGCCGCAGATAACAGGCGTGTGGGTGGTAGCAGGGTCGGCGCCAGTCAGCGCACAGAACAGCTGGTTGGCGCGCATAGAGCTGATCGAGTTGATGCCGAGCACGCGGCGCTTGTCGTACACGCCTGCCATCTTTAGCGTCTAGTTGCAAATGGTAATAGCACACAATGGGCTGAAATTCTAATATAAATACTTATTGGATCACACAAACGACCAAGTAACATGATAATTTAAAATTTACTGTAGAGGTACATTTGTAGGAATAATAGCAGCTGTAAAAATCCCGGTAGAGTGTTAAGAAATGACACCTCAAATAGATTGTTTCATCCTATTCTATTATCATAGAAGCTTAGATGTAATAAATATCACTTCTAAGAGGATATGCCATCGCCGATATTCATTCTAATGCTCCTACCTTTTCCTACATCCGTAGAGTCGCCGCGCCGCGTTTTCGTCCTCCAAATAACTGTATCATCCGTCATCTTAGGTCTACTTCTACCTATATACCTCCACACTGATTACCAAGGTGCTTCTTGTAATATTCATTCTCATATTATGGTTAAAAAATACTTAAGACTAACATGCATGCATAGAGCGAAGTTGCAGTCAACGGGCGGCGTCTGCACGGCGACAACGGCATAGGGGCAGAATCGCGCGCAAGCAATGCTA